ATGTGAAGTCTGTCTTTGTATTGCAGGAAGTCCCCTTTCACAAAATTTTACGTGTTTGTGTCTGAGAGAGAGAAATGGAGGCAGACAGAAAGACGAAGAGACAGAAGAGAGCCCCCCTCAGAAGAGAGCTTGTTAAGGTTCCCAGTGGCCTTAGCTATGCACCAGATTTGATGTACGAACTGTTCCACCAAAAGAAATCCCTTCGCCATAATATCTTTTGAGGAAAATATTATTCTTTAAGACTCTAACAGTAAATCATAGAACAAAGCATGGAACATTTCTTGTAGTTAATACATGTTCATGCAAAAAGAAATGATATTTTCATTAAACAATGTTGATTTTAATAACTTAAAAAAAAACTAATGAGTTGCGATGAAACAGCAAGGGGTGGGGTGCAGCATCATAATGAGGCATTGTGGGCTATACTCAGTGCTGTCCTCAATAGCACCTCTCATTGTATCAAGGAGTTCTGTAGGGCGTGATGGGAGTCTGAAGGGCTTGGAGAAAACAGAAAAGAGTTTCACTGGCTGGAGCGAAACTTTCTGTTACAATTCAGCTGAGTTAGTCTGAGCCTCTACCTATAATTTTCTGTAGTTCAAAATTCTGTTTTAAGTGCTAAGTGAGGGGTAAGCACTGGAGATTATGGGAGTGGAGAGGGATACCCCTGCCTCCACTGGAGACGTATGGGCTGATGCTGGGGACCTGGAGGTGATGGTGCCCGTGGAAGGATCCAGAGCAAGTTGTCCAGGAGAAAAAGGCAGGGAAGGCACTCCGTGCATGAGCGGATAGCATCCATGGAGCACAGAAGTATGGGGAGCACCCACAGGGAGCTACGGGCAGTTCATAAAATATGAAAAGTATGAAATATGAGGCAAGGCTGGCGAAGTAGGCAAGGGCCAACTGTGCCCATCCTCCGTGCTCTGCTAAGGAATGCGTCTTTGCTCTGTGGAGAGATACCGAGGTGCCACTGAAGGAATTTAGGCAGGGGAGCTTTATCTGCTGTCTAGTGCATTCCTGCTGCACGCAGATCTGAGCGAGCACAGTATTATCGAGAGGGGAGATGGACCTCCACCCCTCAGTGGGAGCTACCGCAAAGTCACATTGCAGAGACAGTATGAATTATACAGGGAGGTTGTGAAGAATTATGAGCAATGATTCGATCTACCTTAGGGATGAAGCAGCTGGACTTGACTTTTTTAGATTGTTTACTTGGGCAGTTGTGTGAAAAGCAGATTCGAGGTAGGTGATGTTGGAGTCAGAAAGACCAGTGAGGACAGTCAGGTGAGACCTTGTGAGAATCTGGGTGGGGCAATAGTGAGTCATGATGAAACAGTTCAAAATGAGGTAAAACCATCAGGAACGAATGACTTAGAGTCATTTATGGTTGGTTTTTAGATACTTCCTTTTACTGTATAGAGTCCATGCTAAGGTTTGCATATGAAACCGTTAGTTGCCTAACCAATATTTGTTTTCTTATTTCTTATTAAAACAAACTTGATTTAATTGTGGCATTAATGTGCTTAACTTGAAAAAATTACCTAGCTTCCCTTGAAGCTGAGAAGTAGTCATATGACAAGCCCTGGCTATTAGGAGATAAATGAGATTCATTGGGTATTACCAGGAGAACTTTTTTTAAAATTAATTAATTTTTTAACTTTTTTTTTATTGATTTATAATCATTTTACAATGTTGTGTCAAATTCCAGTGTAGAGCACAATTTTTCAATTATACATGAACATGTATATATTCATTGTCACATTACCAGGAGAACTTTTTAAAGGAGCATGTGCCCCTTTGCCATTTGCTTCTGTCTTCTTCCTGTCTTATATGTAGATGGATGGCAGCTGGAGGTCCAGCAGCCATCTCGTGGCCAAGAGGCATCCATGGATGGCTGAGCAAAGAGAAGGAATCTGTCTTTAATGACAACATAAAGAAAATGTTTGCTAATTGGTACTTATTAAAGTTAGGCTTCTACCTCAAATAAGGAGGATGCAGTGTTCTCTTCCTTGATCACATTTCAAAGAGATGGATCCCAGGTTCTTGAGAATGAATTCCTAGATGGTAAAACTGGTGAGAAGTTGGGAGATGATTTACAACTCAAAGGAGCAGAGAAAGTTTACAATGGAAAGTTTTCTAAAATAAATGCTCTAAGAAAAGGGAGGTCAGGGATCTTTGGTCAGGAAGAAAACCTGCCTGAAGTTTAGTCAAGCCGAGGGGAACAAGGCCATTTAGGTCAGAGGGTGACACCACCTTTCAGACTCTCCAGGAAGTCAGGTCTTAGAAGTCTCAAACTGATTATCTCTTAACAAGTGGCAGCTTTATCAGAGGACACACACTGACCAGCTGGTGGAGGGACTGATTTAAATCCTCATCCCACTGGATGGAGATGAATGCATCTGCACCCTGTGGGGGTAAATCCCTGCAGTTTTCTAACTTGTCTCCACCCTGGAAAGGAGAGTAGACACCGAAATAACATCCCCAGGACCAAATGTATCCACTTCTTCAGGCAAAAAACATGTTTTCTGCTCAGAGATGATTCCATGAGACCTCACAAGAGAGTAGAACTGGGGATGGGGCAAAGGACTCTTGTAGCCCAAAGACAGAACCCAGGGACACATAGTACCTCTTCCAGAAATTACCATTATAAAAAACCCTGCCAGTAATGCAGAGCTGCCTTGGGACAGAGGAAAAAAAGGGGTCTCCTTGCTTGGCATTTCAGCTTGCCTAAGGGGCCATGTTTTGCTCAGAGGGGAGGTGACTCTGCGACCTTGAAATCCAGGCCTCAGGAAGTAAGAGATGAAGGTTTTTATTTTTCCCTTAAGGCTTTGATGTTTCCAAACAAAAATATAAAAGATCCAGAACTTCCCCTTAAACTTCACAAAGCAGTGGATTTTAGAAAAAACAAAGGACTGAGGGTGGGGTTGGGGGCGGGTGGTCCCTAAGGAGTATTCCCCAGAAGCTTCTTTCCCCCACCCTTGCAGAGTACTAGGATTTTCTTAAACGTTCCTATCCCAACGCCCTTCCCCTTGTTTTTGCCACCGAACTTCTTCTTCCATTCTCCAAAATACAGACGGTTACCCTTCAGGCCTTCTTACCCATCTCTCCTAAACCCCAATTTCTCCAAATACCAGGCATTTCTCATTTTGCTCAGCTTGTGTTTCTCCTGACTGGTCACGAGTCTGACGTGCGGGGGGCGGAGAGAGCTACTCCCGCCACACGGTGGCGCGCGCGACCCTCTCAAAGCCGAAGCTTCACAGCTGCTCACACTTCTCCCTCCCCGCCCAACCCGCGCCGCGGCGCTGAAGGAGCCGCGCCCCCGGCCTTCCCCGGCGGGACAGCGGGGAACGCGCCTCGGGAGCCCCGCAGGCGGGCGAGCCGCAGCGGCGTCCGGCCGGCGTGGGAGGTGCGGCTGGCAGCAGGCAGCCCGGCTCCAGGCTCCTCCTCCTGCTGATCTAGCCTTTACCCCCCAGCCCCCACCCTCCACCCCTCCTAGGCTCCGCGCTGCAAATCCTAGGCTTCTCCCAGCAGCCTGGGAGCGGCGGCGTGCGCAGCGAAGGCGTCAGGAAGAGCGCAGCCGGCCGGCACGCGGATCCCACGGGTAGCAGCGGCGGCGGCGCTACATTAGCCCGGGAGGTGCCGCGAAGCCCGGCGCGCTCCAGCCGGGCTGGGAGAGAAGCGAGGGCTGCAGCTGGGCAAGAGGGAGGAAAGTGAGCGTGTGTGGCTGCGTGTGTGTGAGTGTGGGGGGCGACAGAGAGAGCCGGGGAACCGAGGTGCGGCTCCCGAGGGTCTCCCGCGGCGGCGTCGCTCCTCAGTGTCCCTCACCATGGACTTGAGTGGAGTTGGGGTGCTCCTCGGCCGCAGCGCGCGGGTGGCTGCCCGGC